CGACACCATTCATTCAAATACTATCAAATGCTATAGTTTTAACAATTCATCCCCCGCCTCCCCAAAAAAAATAGAAAAAAAAAAAACAACATACCATATAGAATCAACGAAAACATTTCGACGATTAAATGAATAAATGGGTACATCAGCCATTTGTCGTTGTTGGAATATATCACTCCAGGAATCGAATAATCGCTCCCCGCGAAGATTAACTACCGGTGTATCACGATCACCGCTATGTACCACTTTGTTAAGATCCTATGTAAAATTATTTTATCACTTCATTCAGTTATCATTTATGATTTGTATAAAGTATAAAAAATAAAAATGAAAAAATTAAATTTCCAATTAATTTTATTATCAAATATTTAGATGTAATTTGATTTTAACTTTAAAATTTACATTTTAAGTTTGAAAAATTTTTTATTTGAATTTAATTTAAACATTTAAGATTACATGAGAGAGAGAGAGAGAAAGAGAGAGACAAATAAACATCTGGCTTCAATTACCGTTCACTTTAAAGTTTAATTAGCATTAAAAAAATGAAAAAATATAACAGGACAAACTATGACTCATTAATTAAGATTGATGCAAAGGATCGCTGATGATGTTAATTGATTGCAAGCTTGTTTACAAATGGAAAAAAGTTGCTATTTCTAATTAATTAGGAAAAATCTTTGTTAGAAAATTCATCTTTATGCCGCATGTCTTATTTGAAATTTTAATTTCAAATTTCTAATTAAATTAAATATTAAATTATACCTGAACATGTGATGAAAGGAATGCACGAAAAGTGGTACGAAAGTTAGCTTGCCGAGCTTGCTGATAGCATGCTAAATCAGCTCCACGTACGCCACGCATATTACCAGTCATTGGTACATTTAATGCTATGAGATGAAGCTAAATGAGATAATAATTAATAGTATCATTTAATTTTAGATTATATTTTAGCAATATAAATAATTCATTTCAAATTCAAAAAATACATAACATATTTCAGATGGATGATTTGAATGAATTTATTAAAATGAGGAAAGAAAAAATTCAAAAAAAAAAACAAAAATATGATAAACTTACGACAAGATCTTTAGTTTGAAGACTATGTGGTAGGAAACCAGGATGGGTTCGATCCGGTCCTGGTCGTTCCCGATATCGCAATCTATCATGATCCGGATATCGTGTATGATGACCTTCTTGCTTAATTGCGAACAAAATTATTTTATTAAATAACAATTAAAATTTACAATATATTTTCTTTGTTCCTTTGTACAGTAAGAAAAATTTTTTTAAAAATTTTCAAAATTAAAAAATTGGAATTATCAAATTTTAATGTGCAATATGTGCAGTACAACGAATAAATTGTGCAAACTAGTCGGATTAATTGCAAAATAAAAATTCGAATGCAAAAGTATTGTGCAGTATATTGCTAATAATATTTGCAATATATGAAGTGCATGTGCATGCATACATGAAAGCAAGCACTATTAGCTAATTTGCATGGATCAACATTTTAAATGATTACTTTATCGATTGATTATTGCTATAAGTTAAATAACTTAGTAAAGAAATGATTAATAATTGATTAATTTAAGATGTTAAGATTCAAATTGATTTATAAATTTCCATCATTCCATACCTATTTAGATTATTAATATTCATTTGTTTTTTTTCTTTTGTAAACTAGCTTGAAGCAGAAAAAAAAAAGAAATCACAAGCAAAAGTTCATTCTCGTCTTTTCTACTACCAATTAATCAATAATTGTTATCTTTCAATATATCAATCAATAATTACTATCTTTCAACATTATGCATTTTGTTTTATCAAAAAATTCCATTTTTTTTTAAAAAAAAATTTTTTTTCTAATGTAAAAAAAAAAAAGAAAAACACTGGAAAGACCCAAAATCGTTTGGTTTATTTGAATGGGTCACCTCATCCGGTGGTGAAATTGTCGTTTGTTTCAACCATTGCTGACTAAATGATGCTATATCAGTAGCCATTGTAACAGGTTCAGTATAGTAATCTGGTCTAATTGAATGATTTTGATAGTCTCTTCTTTGTTGTGGCGTTAATAAATGTTGTGATGTTGGAAGTGATTGTAATGCTGAAAGTGTATAATCCAAACTTTCGGATGATTCTCGATAGTTTTGTTGATGAAGTTGATGTAGTCGATCATTTGCTGATTGGCGATATCTTGGATAAAGTTGTCCTGGTGGTGGTCGATATTCAGCACGTAAAGATGGTGAAAATTGAAATTTTGATTCAACTGTCTGTTGTGATTGTGGATAAGGATATGTTGATAGGATAATTTCCGGTTGTATTAGTGATTTATGATCATGTTGTGATTGTGAAAGTTGATATTTTGGTCCAAGTGTTTGCTGTAATTGCTTATAAGAATATTTCGCAGGTAATGATGTTCCGGATATTTCTGGTTGATGAATACCATCAAATCTTGACTGTTTACCATATGATCTTTGTATATCAGGAATGAATTGATGAGATTGTTTAGGAATATCCGGTTTGAAATGTGGCATCTGTAATACTTCTGGTACCAACAAGAAATCCTTGAATATTAAAGGAATTTGTTGCTGTGATCCTGATTTTTATGATTCATTCTAAAAACTTGCTGGAAATGGTAGTTTGACTAATTAAAACGCTGATTGTGACGCATTTCTGGTTACTGTAATAATATTAATAAGACGCATTTCTGGTTACTGTAATAATATTAATAATAAAGGTGCTTTATAACTAAAATTTGTGATATTATTAGATGCGTAAGCAATTTTAGAAATAAGTTAAAACAACGCGTCCCGCAAATATTAATAAGCATGAAAAATATATTAATTTACACTTGAAAATTTGATAAATTTTATGTTATCAGTAATTGACACTGTGTAAATTTGATAAATTTTATATTATCAATAATTGATAATATGTAAATTTGATAAATTTTATATTACCAATAATTGACGATATGTAAACTTGATGAATTTTATATTATCAATAATTGACGATATGTAAATTTGATAAATTTTATGTTATCAATAATTTACAAAACGTAACAATGGATAACAAATTAAAAATCTTGAAATTTAATTTTTATAAAAATGCTCTCTGATAGGCTTATTTCAATGATAATCGAAATGTATGTTGCATATTGATAAGATAAAAAATTGAAAAATTTTGATAAAAAATATGATTATAAAAAGCATAACAAGCAAATTATATTATTATATTTGTTAATTATTCAATAAAAATTAATTCCGTTAAATGAATCAATAAATGACTTTATTCATTTTAAATTTTATTTTAAACAATTGTAGCATAAAATTATAAGAAACAAATTTACATACAAATTGTATATTATTGATTTCTTTATGAGAGAATAAAAATTTCATTTTATGTAATTTTATTTTATATTTTTCTTTTTCCTCAAATTATTAAAAATTCATAAAACATAAAATAAAAATTTGATAATAAAAATTATTGAATGATTTTTTTATAATTTTTTTTTTT